CATACACACACATACATACACAGACCACCCTTCCTGGGAAGCCTGACTATTGTTCTTTATTCTCCTTATCTAAAAGCAGATTGTGTACAACTCATACAACAATAATAGTGATTAAATGTAACAATGGCTGAACACTTACTGGCTTCCTTTAAGGTGGTACATGACTGGTAGGTAGAGGTGCGAATTGCAGGAGCTCTGACATTGTACAGGCGAATCTTCTCGATGCGAGAATCAAAAACTCGAAGCAAAGGATCTTTCTCATCCCACAGAGACATGATCTTATTGTCAATGAACGTGGCAAACATCTGCGTCTCGATGAACCTGGAGAGGAATGGGAGGTAAGGCTCCGGCTGGTCTGACAAGAAAGAAGCCTGCAACAAAAATGTAAAAAATAAAAGTATATTTAGGACTAAATTCTTAAAATAACAATATTTAATGACCCTGCAGCAACAGCATCGCCCGGTCTGGTAAGCCATGACAACCATTGCCGAGGCAAGTCTGTGTAAGGTGGGTGGGAAGGAGCTTTCCTTTCTTTATTACTTTTACATTCATCAATTTGAAAAAAAACATACAAAACAAAGAAAACCAAAACATTCACTTAGTGTTACATACAGCTTCAGTGACTTAAGTTGTCGGACTCAAAAAAGTGTTGAGCTATAAAGCACTTCACATTTTCTGCTTGTCAAAGGAAAACTGAGCCTCAAACTTCAGATGTTTTTCAAATTTAGTAAGGCAATGTCTATTTTCGCTCTATTACAGGGTAAGGAAGCACTGACCAAGGCCACCCACATATATGGTGGGATGGATTGATCATTTGCATTCATCAGTTCTGGATAGAGAGAGGCTTAGGCACTCGGTCAGGTATTATTGCTGCCAGTGTCACCGTTGGGGAGATTTCCTTCACTGCCAGTCCCAGTGGCCACACAATCTACTTTCCTATGATGAAGCCCTCATTGAGAGCGAAACGCGTCAGTAGAGAAATCACATCTGGTGGCAGTAATAATGCAGGAATGGCCAACTCTGCAAACTCTTCCTTAAGGTCATGTCCATACCTCAGTATGAACATTCAGTGACATAACCAGGAGAAAGTTCACACTATCCAGCGCGTTCATCGCACAGTCCTGTGCCATGAAAGCACTATATTACATAAACAAAGCCTCCCCGACCCTGGAAGTGCATGCACTGCTTTTTGCAATCACACCACACTGGAACAGAGGCATTGCGGTACCGCGTGTTCAGGTGGGGGTGTGTGCGATCCAGTGCGTTCATGGCAGGGGACTGTCCAATGAACGCATTGGATAGTGTGAACAGGCCCTTAGTATGGGTGTAACATGAACCATGGTCAGAAAAGTAAACTTAATCTTTAAATATAAGGGAGACAAAAGACTTATTTACACGCCTTTTACATTTAAGTTTAAGGCTGCTAGAAGCAAAAAAAAAATAAAAAATCATGGCTTACTTTGTCAAAGTTCTGCATCTGCTCTCGGTTGGTCAGCCAAGATTCCATGTCATGTGCGGCCTGAATAACAAACGCCTCATAGTCAGAGAACATCTGCGTAAAACGGTTGGCGAATACTTCCCGGATCTGCACGTTGAGTTTATAATCCCTCAGCTCCTGCTCGGCACACTGGAGCTTATGCTCATCCTCGGGGTCCGCCAGTGGGACACTGATGCTGATCTTGTCCATCTTTATCCCCGTCCTTTTGGTGAGAGCCTCAAGACGGGCCATGGTCTCGTTGCCCTTCAGCAGCTCGTACATGTTGATGTTGTGGCTGGAGATGTTGCCGTTCTTCTTATCATTCACCAGGTCGTCCAGTACCAGGCTCTTCAGCTTGGTGGCGCTCTCGCTGCAGTGTAGATTTCCCTCTGGCGGTATCCCATAGTTCAAGAGAACCTCCGAGATTTCCTGAATAAATTCCAATTTGTTGGGGAACTGTGGGAACTCCTCCGGCAGTTCTATGAAGTGGTTATCAATGTCCACAAAACACAAGTTAGCCTGAAATGACAAGGAGACAATCTGAAATTTACAACTAAATTGGTTATTAGAAGAACAAAAATTGAGGTTTAGAAGCATTCAAGAGGTCCTGTTGTCAGAACATTAATTTCAACACAAGTCTTCCAATAAGAATATATGTACATTCAATGCATTTTTTTATCCATGTTATTTACCTGTAGAAGCCACCCCCTTGTGTAGACATCCAAAAGCTGAGACTGCTGCTGGGTGTCACCAACTTGAATGTGATGTCAGCAGCCCCAGCAGACCGCCATTCAAGTGACACACTTAAGTACTCCCTTTCGCTCCACTCACTGCAGCTGAGCAAAAGGTTATGCAGGGAGGTTCGGAGGAGCTGGGACAACACAGACAGTAATTAGACACTGCGAAAAGAGGAGAACTATGACGTGCAAGGAGAGCAGCTTCGGCAACGAGCCAAGCAAGGGAGCTACTCCTCACTCACTCGTCTAACTGGGCGTGACACATGCAAGCAGGCGAGTGTTTCACCTACCTGTTGGTGATGTGAATCTGCTGTTGGCGATTTCTTGGGTGACCTCATCCTAAGGTCACATGAGCTTGCCCTGGAGTAGTATTTTGTGATTCATGGTAGGAAACAAGTACTCTTCTTTTACTTCCGAAAATTATTGCCCGGCTTCAGACAAATTTTTTAGTTGTAAAACTTAAACCGAAACACTTTCCTTCTAAAGCTCACTACACACATTACAATCTCCTTTAGGTCTGCCAACAACTATGTAGTGCAAGTGGTAACCTCACTGGGAAGAGATTGGGTCTGCCAACACATATGTAGTGCAAGTGGTAGCCTCATTGGGAAGAGATTGGGTCTGCCAACACCTATGTAGTGCAAGTGGTAGCCTCATTGGGAAGAGACTGGGTCTGCCAACACCTATGTGGTGCAAGTGGTAGCCTGATTGGGAAGAGATTGGTGGAATAGTTTAGCTAGGTCCTCATATTACATAGTTTTGATAAATCTACAGTTGATTGTACTGAGATTGTATAGTCAAGATTCTTACGTGCATGGTGACCCTTCTAACCCTTTCCCCATTTCAGTGAAAACAAATGTTTTGTTGCAGTCTGTGTAACCACTGAAGAGATTCCCCAACACTGACAGGAAGTAAGGGGATCACAATACATTAAAGGGTTCGATCTCCTCCCTACACTGTCCAAAACTAAACAAAAAATGTTTGTTGGAGTTGCCTCGTCACTAGCTGCCCTTCTGTACTATTGCATACTTACCTGTCCGGCAGGCGGTGAGCGAATTTTTGAAGAGTTTCATGTGTGACAGTCCTATTCCATTTCTTGTTGTGGCAGAGAACGTGACCCCCGCTGTTGGCTGCGATTCCTCCGGTTGGACCCTATGTCACTACTGTATTCTATAGTGACACAGGGGCCAGCGGGAAGAACCATAGGGAACAGGAATCCGACACACACGGAAGTGTATGATTGCATCAGCTCCCAGAGTTCTTAAAGAGCACAAAGAATGAATCCACCGCCCACAAGACAGACAAGTAAAAAAAAAAAAACGTTACATTTACAGGGGCAGCTGGTAGAAATATTTTATACCAACGACACATTAAATGCGATTTGGTACTGCTGACATGTCAGGCTGAAATTTTTACTTGTCCTGACAGGTCCATTTTAGGAGTCCGCCTTTATTAGGGAAGCACAACCGCCACATGCAGGTTTTGCGGTGATCAAATGCCCGCTAATCAAAGCAGCTTCCTAGCCGTCAGCTCAGACGCCATCACACCCTCATCAGCTCCATTGCAATTAGTCCTCCATCTGTCAGCCCCATTAATAATGGATCAAGCATCTGCATTCTGGGGGCTCCACTTTCTCTAGTAACAAACGAGAATTTATTAATAAACAGACACTGATCAAAATGAATCATCAGTGGTGTCAGCATGGACCCAGGCCTAATACAGCGTCTGTCATGTTGCCCTGAGAATCAGGGATAATAAGACAATGCTGATAATGGGGCTTAAACAAAAAAAGGGACACAAGAGCAATGGCAGCTTTGTAACCAATCAGATTTCAGCTTCCATTATTTCAGTGCAGCCAACATCGTAAAAGAGGACCGTTGGGACCCATACGTGCTCTGGGAATTTCTCTTGTTTGTTCCCTTTTGGTCTGTTAAATATGCTGTTAGATCGTTGGAATAGTGCAAAAAATACCTGTTGATTCAGTGAGCCGATTTCTGCCTGTACACACTCTGTAGTGTTATCTCAGGAAGTGTCAGCCCTGCCAAGTCTCCTCTTTATTAACTATAGAACCCTATCCCCTATGTTATGGAGAGGTGTTCTTTAGTCATAACACATCCTCTCCTATGATGACAACACTGCTCTTACATAGATACAGTACTGTGAGTGAGTGTTGTCACCCTAGGACAAGTGTAATAATGGCAGGATCCCCAGGTGAAAATAAAATTTTAAAAAAAGCCTGAAAAAGAAAACTAATGCAGCTGCCACATCTAAGGAATGGTAAGCGGTACCATATTACAATATATTAAAAATATTAATATATGTTAAAAATGTATCTCAGTCCTCTATAGCAGGGAGCATTCATCTTAAAGAGCTCCAGGCATATTAAATCATAACCCATACAATGGGGTTACCCCTGTACTGCAAGGGTTAAGTACTCATTTTAATCTACGGTTTAAGCTAATAAAATGTGTACTCGCCAGTAAACAATAACTATGGAGAATACATGATTGATGGACTGAATGTATGATACACTTTCTCTTTAACTAAAAAAAACTGTTCAGAAAACAGACAGCAG